CCCCAAAACCCCAAAACCCCAAAACCCCTTTAGATTTGATAAAAATTGAAAGTCTAAAAATACAATAACTTAAACTCACCACTCACCCATTCAATAATACTTAATTCTTCCTATACGACTCACTACCCTAATAAAATCTCCATCCAAACAAATTCACTCAAACTCAACTCAAACCTCTCAAAAAATCAAAATCCAAAAACCTCCACCTATAAAATCCAACATAATTTCCAAAAACCATTACTAAAAACACTTATTCTCCCTCCTTCTTCTCCTTAACCTCATATTTCTCTTCAAAAATCCCACTCACCGGAAAATACTCTTTCCAGTTCTCCTCTAACTTCTCTATCTGCACTACGTAATTCTTCTGATTCAGTCCTCCCATAATCCTATCTAATTTTTCTTGTTTCCTGAATTCCCCTGTCTGTCCAATAATTATGAGCTTTTTGATGGCCTTCCCGAACAATGGTAGGATTTTTCTAAGAATTTTGGCCTCTTGAGGTTCGTCTCAAGGGGATATCAGCAGAATTAGTAAATCGTTACGAGGAGCAGGCAGGTCTTGTAAGGTAGCATAGCTAGTGATATCAAGGCTGGTCAAGAGCGTAGAGATGGAGTCACTTGGGGCTGAAGATATTACAGATATTTTTTCCGGGCTTCATAGGTCCTTTGTGATAAACGAGTGCAGAATCATACTTAAAATTCCACTATTTAGAGCATCTGGCTGACATTCTGGGTGCTGAGTCAGTAAATTGTCTATTCCTATGAAGGCTATGGCAGGCTGAGGATATAGAGCATACTGTAGGAAATCTACTTGGATCAGACCGTAGTTAAAGTCTTTGTTGTACAGCAAATTCTCTGTTTTAAGAGATTCTTCTATTCTTAAGCTATCAAAATAGAACTCTTTATTCAAGAACTCATTTATCTGCTCATTTCCTTGATACTGCTGATTTAGAATAGTTGCACATGAATAATACTGGTTGAACAATCTCTGGAATAGGCTCATGCTAAAGTTCACTTCTAATTGATCTTCTCCCCATGTTTCAGGCCCTTCAACATGGTAATCTCCGAACATGATGAATTTTTGGGCAACTAAGATAGATGAAAGGGCTTCTGGCTCTCATATCTTGTTTGCTCCATCAAAAATGACATACTCAAATGGCTTGAGAAGGGCTATCAGCTTATTGGTGACTCCAATAGCATTTGTTGCAAATAAGTTCTGTTCCATTACTTCCATTATATCATAATATTCTTCGAAACTATTAGGAGTTATAGTATTCCCTAGGATATCTGGGTGAACTTGGCTACTAGAGAAAGCAATCCTTTTGAAAGAAATCCCCTCTTTCTGGACTTTACCAAGTAAATCATCAAGAACAGAGTTAGAATGAGAGACGAGCAAGACCTTTTTCTTCTCCTTTTTAAGGACTTTTAGCAACTTTAGAAGAACAGTAGTCTTACCAGTGCCTGGTCCACCATTGACCAAATGGAAGTACTTTCATTCTAAAGACTTTGAGAGAGCTTCTTTCTGTACCTGATCAAGCCCTTTGCACACACTAGGATATTTGTTAACAATCTGTTGAGATTTTTCTTGCTCTTGTATTTCTAAAAGCTCACTGATGTTGTTTTGTATGATGAAATTTCTCTTCTCTTCATACTTCTTTTCTGATCATAGGAGGAAAACATTGCCTCTCATATTTGAATATTTTGGATTCGTCAGAATCTCCTTCTGCAATTTCCAAGAAGTTTCATTCCATGAGATTCCTCCAAGAGCTTCTCTTGTAAAGTTTTGGAGATCAGCAAGACTGAGCTGGATGATCAACTTCAGATCTTGAGTTAGACCTTTGGTGAAGGTCTTCCTCTCGATCCAGACTTTGTTACTATTCTGAATATAATACCTCTTCCTCAAGATTACACCTTTGGTGAAACTGAGTGTGCTATTGTCAGGTTTGAGGATTACTGTGTCCCTTTCATTCATCTTATTAAGTGCCTTACCTCCAGTGAAATAGTCAGGAAGTCTTTTGATAAGATGCACCACAACTCCATCATCTTTGGGGTGGAGACTGTTCATCAAGAGCTTGGATAAAATAGGATTTTCATAATATAGTTTTGACTTTTCAGTGTGAGTACTTTCTTCTTCCTTAAGCTGCTCCTGGTTTATAGCTGTTATCCACTTCTTGTAATATTCTTGCACAGATTTTGGCATTGTTTTCTCAAGGGCTCTATACGCTTTGAAGGTGGGTGTTTCTCCATCACAAGTCTTCTCCTCAAGCGAGTATGCATAGAGAGCTCATTGCTTCTTGGAAAAGCACTTATTTCAGTCAGTATTTGTCCTAATCAAATTTGGAAGTGAGATTTCTGAATTAACTCTGTTCTTCAAATGTCTCACTAAAATATTTCTATTTTGAAGTAAATTTCTGACTTCTATATCTACCTTTGTGATTATTTCACATGGGTGTTTCTGAAGCATAAGATAAAGGAGTAAACTATCTTTGTTCTTTCCCTTGAAGATGTCATCCAATAAGATATTATAAAGAAGTACTTGACCTCTATGAGAAGCGGATCTGTATCTCCCAGTCTTAAGCTCTAAAGCATTAATCTGCTCTTGTCCTTTGTCATTAATGCATAAAATAGTGGAATCTATTTTACCTTTGACTCCGTAAAAGTCTCAATGGATTTCTTGTTCGATGGCAATTTGTCTTTTGAAAGCTATTTTAAACATATTGGTCTCTGTTTTAGACATTCAGTTGATCCACTGCTTTATTTTAACGGCTGCTTCACTGATTTTCTTGTAGATGCATTCCTCACTATATTCCTTCCTAATGAAGTAGAGGTTGAGAATCTGATCTTGGATACTTTCTTTAATAATTTTATGGACTGTAACCTCACTGAATTCTTTGAGTTCAAGCATCTTTTGGAACACCATGTGGACCATATTTCCATAAATCAGAGGGAATTTGGGAGGTCCTTCGCAGTTATTAAACATGTTCTTCATCAATGGCACTCTTGCACAAGGAATTGTGGTTGAGATATCTGTAGAGGAGACAAGTAGTTTTGGTTCAAGAATAATTCATTCTCCTTTCTTTCCTTCATAATCGGTTGTATACTCCATATCGTCATAGATTAATTGAAAGTTGTTAAGGCTAGTCATTCTTCCTATTACTCTAATCTCATCATCTACTTGGAATGGAGAAGTCCTCCAAGATTGTCGAAGGATCAGGGTGAACTTGAGTGGCAAATGAAGGTGGTTTAAAGGCTTAATGATAACATGAGTCTCTGCTTCCTCCTTCACTTCAATCTCCATGATTAGGAAGATCTCATTAACCAGAGCGATTTCATTCTTCAGTTCATCTCTTTTCTTATCAAGTTCTTTTTCTATAGCTAGATCTTGTGCTGATAAAGTGTCTTGAGCATCCTTTTGAGGTGCAGCGTCCTCTTCACTATCGAGACAGTATTCTTCAAGTTCGTCCATATTGATATCATCGATGTCAACTGTAGATTCTTGGTGTGATTTTGAGTTATCATTTTCTTTAAGGGACTTCTCAATGGTCTCATCAGTTGTTTCTTCATTCAAATCTTGAAGAAGACATTCAATCTCGCCTTTATCCTGAGCATTGATACCACCCTTGGGCTTTTCTAAGGTAAGAAGTTTACTCTCGATTTTGAGAAGGTCTTCATCTGTAACATCTGTGTTCATGCCTGATTCTTCAGGTTGTGGGGTGTTTTCAGCATCAGGAACTTTTTGGACTCGATCTTTCTTCTGAGAAATCATCTGTTCAAAGGCAAGAGTGTCATTGAGCTTCTCTTCTATAATCTTTAAATCTTCATCAGTCAGTTCTGTGATCTTTTCAGATTCATTAGCTGGGTTTGGAGGTGTCAAATTTTTGTACTTGAGCTTATCCTTCTGAGCCTCTGATTCTCAGAGATTAGCCGTTCGTTTCATCAAAGTTTTCAAAGGATTTGAAAGATCTTGGAGAATTTTAGAGGCTTTCTATTTATCATATAAGACCAGGGGTTTTGGGGTTTTGGGGTTTTGGGGTTTTGGGG